TAATACACATACACAAAATAGATATTTATTTTGTATATATATATATATATATATATATATCAGTTAAGATCAAATTAAGGAGTATATTTCTAAATTGTTCGTATTTTTTAGAAAAAGAAAATGCACCCCTCAAGAGTAATCTATATTATTAGGTAGAAGAGCTCATTTGGTCCCTAGTGAAACTTATTTATCTATTTTCGCTAAGAAAATCATTATGTTCATTTATAAGATTTTTTTTTTCTAGAGAAAATATTTTTAAATATTTTAACTAATTAAACATAAAAAAAAATTGACAAAAAATATTTTACTCCTTAATTACAAAACACACCCTTTGTGTTTTATTATATAGTATATATCACAAAGTTTTACATGAGCCAAGACTAGATACAACCTTAAGGGGAGCTCTTTTCTTGGATACAAATACAAAAACAAACCATACATCAATCATATTCTTTTGACAAATCTCTCCAATTATATGACAATATTTATAGTACCACACACCATATTATATCTTACAACAATCTTTTTTTTTCTTCAAATAATTAAAAGCTAAGATTTGCTCCTAAAATGGTTAAGGGCAAGTTGAGCATCAAATTTAGCCGGACCAACAAATGTTTCAAGGAACTCTGGATAAGTAAAGTCTCTGAACACTGGTACAGTTTGAATCAAAGTAGTAGCCGGTTTTATTAAAAACTCTGGTGACGGAACGAGAAATACACCAATTGTGGTTCGAGCCTCTTTTGGGTGTGTGACCACCCGATGAACCGGAGTTATGAACCTGTCGTTGCTTATTACCTGCATTAAAATAAAATTAAAAAACTCACGACTTGCTTTTTATTATATTTCGTCGCTTATACTTTCTAATGTAAAAATAAAAAATTTATAATATTCCTTAAAGGGCATGATCTCAGTTATTTTTACAGAAAAATGAATATTAACATTTTTTTCTACCTAAGATATATGAATTACTTATTATTTTTTAAAACACTTGATATTTAAAAATGGGCTAAGTAGTCAAACGAGCTCTTAGGGTGTGTTTGTTAAGGAGAAAAGAATTTTTAAAGAAATATATTCTACTTTCTATCATATCAAAAAAAATTATCTCTAGAACAATAAGTCTTCTAAAAATCATAAAAATTATTTTCTGATGAAAAAAAAGTTTCATAAATAATATTTTATGTTGATTATTTCCTCCCTCCTCCCCCTCCACCCCCACCCCACACCCTTCATACCAAACACACCCTTAATCCTCTTATATTTTATCATAATTAACCTCCAAAAGATGCAAAATTTGTTAAACACAACAATTATCATAGAAAATTAGTAATACCTTCAATTGTAGACCAGGGATAATAATTAGAGTATGAGGAATATGTTTAACACCAATCCATTTTCCATCCTTAAGTATTTGAAGTCCAGGAACTTCACCTTGTTGAAGCATTGTTATGAGATTTGGATCAGAATGTGCTGGCATTCCTAGTGTTAAACTTGGATTTGGACATGGAATATGATGATTAACAGATATCAAATGTGCTTTACTTAATTCACCTTCAAAATAACCTAAGTTTAGTCCTAATCCTTTGCATATCATATCCAAAATCTTGTTCAATAGCTTCCTTGTTTCTATTGAATATTCACTTACCACTTCTCTACAAAAAGAAAACAAACAAAATGATTAGTCTAATATATGTCACTTTAAAAAAATGGTCGTGTCACGTGTGGAATATTCAAATTAAAGAGTTTCTTCTCTATATCAAGACGTAGATTGAACTGACATCGTGTTTGAAAAATAAAAGAAACACAAACTTTTATATTTTTTGATCTGATAAATATGTCATGACATTTCTGTTGGCTATAATAATTTCTATTTTGAACGAATTATAGAGAGAGAGAAAAAAAAGTGTATTAGATGAATTAAAACATGTGAAGTTTTGAGTATAAAAGAGTGATATTTTATAATAACAAAAGTAAGACACGTAAATTGAAACTATTACCTGTAGTTGGTGGGCTTATCAGGCCAAGAAGGGATATGTTCCTCTAAAGGATTACAACGATGAGTAAATGTATCTCTCCAATAGTGAACTTCCTCAGTATCATATGCTAATGTACTTGAAAATATTTTGCAGCTTTTGTTTGTGTCATTTGAGTAAAATTTTGCCTTGTATTCACTAGGCAATTTGAACAATTCATTGTATATATTCATTGTATCATCCATTAGATTTTCACTTATTCCATGGTTTATCACCTGATCATCATAATATGCAAAAAACAATAATAATAATAAGTATTCGTCTATTTTTTTAATCAGAAGTTTTGAATTCGAATTTTGCATGTGAAGTTGTTTTTGGTGAGGAGCAA